AACTCCCACACCCAGGACTTCAATAATCCCCCCTCTCTGCCTGTCTGGACTCTTGCTATATTTCTCTTCATAATAAAGACAACAAAATTCATCCTTTCCTTTGCCCACAACCCCGTAATTTTCTTTATCATCTGCTCACTACTTTAACCACAACAGATTCTACATTTTCTCATCTTTCTTCCGCTTGTTATAGCTGGAACACTCCCACAAACCAGTTTCCATTACAACAGTCCAGCTCCAGTCCCTTCATGATTATTGCCACAATAAATTCTCATTTCTCATCTCCAAATTGTACTGGTCAGCCTCCTCTTCTTTCAATCTTTTCTGTCTTATTTTTCATACCTATACCTTTCCACTCCCAGATGCTGCCCCTGTGGCTAGCCAGATTCACAGACTGGTTTGGGTTGGAAGAGACCTCAAAGCTCCTCTAGTTCCAACCCCCTGCCACAGGCAGGAACACCTTCCACTAGAGCAGGTTGCTCAAGGCCTTGTCCATCTGGACCTTCTGAGTCTGAATTTAGCAGAGGTTGAAGATATTTCTATTTTGAGAACTTCTGGAGTAAGGCCTCTCACTGATTTGTTAAGCAAGTCTTACTAACGGGCAAAAATCTGTAGCTCTAGCCTGTGTGCAATGTAGGTTGTGTATTGTGCACACAAAGACTCAAAGAACGTGCATCAAGCTAGAAAGATTATTGCTGGAACTTTACTGGAGTTAGCTTGTAGTTTGAACAGCAACTTAAAGTCAAACTGATTTGTGTGAACCACAATCCTCTCATGTGGAAGGGAGCCGCAAACACAGGTCTCGGGTGTGGAAAACCTTCAGTCCGTGCAGCAAAGGTTTTCCAGAAGAGCTGTGAACTGTAAACAGAAGGGTGTTAGGAAAGTGTAGCTACAGGAATTTTGCCCCTGGGTTAAGAAGAAAGGCTGGCATAGCAGCTGGTCGGCGAGCACCATGAGCAAAAGTAGATGATGGATTACTTGAGATTTATTGAAATCAAAGAAACTGTTGCCATTAAAATGAAGACAAGAAAGTCAGTTGGTGTTTTGCAGTACCCTAAGAAACAAAACCTGTAGTTTGCATTCACTTCTAACATCCCGTTTTCAGTTCATGGCTTGCTCAAAGTCCCTGCACCCAACCTGGCCTTGAACATTGCCAGGGATGAGGCAGCTACAGCTTCTCTGGGCAATCTCTGCCAGGGCCTCACCACCGTCACAGGGAAGAATTCACTCCTAATGTCTAATCTAAATCTCTCCTTTCAGTTTTAAACCATTCCCCTTTGTCCTACCCGTATATCCTCTTACCCTTGTAAAAAGTCCCTCTCCAGATTTCCTCTAGGCATTATTCCTATACCTCTTCCTCCCATCACACTCGAGAACCAGTCCTCAACAGCATCGCTCTGCCTTTCGCATCTAGCTGCCTTATCTTAATGCTTAAGCATTTCCAGTTTTATAAATACCATACATTGTAAGCCATAGCACAAAACAAAGAGAGCCTTTGAGATAGTGATGCACAGTTTAAATCTCAAACATAGCACGTAAAGAAACTTCCATATTTTTCTTATAAAGGCAAAAAACACATGTTGTAATTCAGCACATGCCAGGATAACTGCCTCTTTGGTGCTGCATTTCAATGCCAACACAGCAATTCTGAACTTTTGCTTCTCAAGTTTTATATGAAATGAGTCCTACTCTAGATTTGTCTCTTCCTATATTGCATATTTAACACAAAAAACCCACCCTAATCCAAAACCACTTTCTTCAACTTAAAAGCAACAACTCAACTGTTGAGCTGTTCACAATCAAGTATGCCTTAACTGTTTGGAAATGTAAGAGCTCTAAGTCTTACTCATGGACAGTAATTGGTACCATCTACTTTTCCAGATAAAAATAACTGCAGAGATTACATTTCATTTTCCACCTTTCGCTGGAATCTTGGGGTTCCTTTTGATCTCACATTATCCACGAAGGATCATCTTATACATTCACTGCTAATGCACCTCTTACCATGCTAGAAATTTCTTGACTTTAACATATGCAATCCAAAATAGAACTTGAAAGGCTCCATGCTTCTGTGTGGCCCACAGTAATGACCACACTGCTCTTCTGTGACAGGCTCTTATGGGAGCATCAGGTCTCACACTGTAACTAGTTAAACACTCCCAAACCCACACATTCAACAAGGTTAAGGCTCAAGTATATTAATTTCCTTCAGAAAACTTTGACTGACTTCCAGTGAGAAGCTCAGAAGTTGATTTTAGACTCTGCATATCAAAATTGAAACTACAAAACTACAGATCCTTCACTCCTACCCTTATTTCTAGTCTTATCTTTAAAAAGATATGAAAATCCAAGCCCTGAACGCACTGTTGTACAGCTTCAATTTAGCAGAAAAGTTAGTCTAAGAAAGCATTTTTATTCGGCATTTCCATAGAGCATATACAGCCCAAACAGCTTATATTTAACCTGTTATTTTATTGTGTAAGCGGTAAAGAAACACAGGGGAGTTCAGGTTCACATAAACCTATTATCACAGACATATTTAAAACTGGCCAGGACACTTACTCACTTGTTTCTAATAGCTTCAGATTAAAGAACAATCAAAACGCTACCTTTGTAAGATGAGTCCTTAGACTCGCTGTTTCACTCAGAGCTGAGAAAACAGCAGCCGTGCATAAAGACTTTAACACACCTTTCCCCTTCCTGCTGAGTAAACTCAGCTCTGAGGATGGATTGTCACACAGGACCAACAGGACAAGAGAAATACAACTTCCTAATTTAAAAGCCCTAAAGATTCACTGCAGCAGCAATCATGATAATTCCTTGTAACAGCCAATAAACCTAATCACAATCACATCCGGTCTAACTGGGCAAAGGCACACATGAAGAGTCACACAAAAAGCCTCAATTATTATTGCTCAGGCCACAGAAGATTTAGCAAGACATGAAGCAAACCCAAAGGAATACATTTAGCTCGATGAGTATCTTAATAGGTCCTGACACGAGTTCTACACAATACAAGAAATGCAGTGTAATTTCACAACCTAATGATTCCAATTTGCCAGCTCTCAGAATGGGGCATGCCACAATATAACGATGACAGAAACACAAGGTTTAAAGGCTTAGTAAATTTCTATGTGAATCTTATCAAAGCATATAAAGTTCTATGCCAAAGACAAGCTACACAAATAGGGAAACATTTACCATGATTACACAGCTTGCTAACAAGGTAAATATCCCATGATCAAGGGCAGATTACAAAGCAAACCCTCGTAGCCCTGAGTTCACCACAAAGATTTGTGACTAAAACAAGCCATTCTGCTGAAGAGAAGAACATCCACTGCATTGAATGGTGTCCATCAAATGAAACTGCGTCCAGCATAACACCATCCAACATCCCATGAACTGTGTGGCGTCATAGCTTAATGGCTGTGAAAGCAATGGCAGCGTTCTCAGAACTGGGATACTGTGCTGTTATTTCATTGCACTTACTTCTTAGAATCATAACACAGAATGCCAGGATGGAAGGGACCTCCAAGGATCATCCACCCCAAGGTTCACCCTCCTCTTGAGAAGTCTATCAGAAATGAATGATGGCATCTCCAACTGATTATCACCATCCTTATAACCTGTTTCCTGAACAAGGAGTTTCTACACAGCTGCTCTTCTGAATTCAAGGAAAACTTCAAACTTTTATTAGAAAGAAATTCTTCCCTGTGAGGGTGCTGAGGTGCTGGCACAGGGTGCCCAGAGAAGCTGTGGCTGCCCCATCCCTGGCAGTGTTCAAGGCCAGGTTAGATGGGGCTTGGAGCAACCTGGTCTAATGGAAAGTGTCCTTGCCCATGGCAGGGGACTGGGACTGGTTGAGCTTTAAGGTCCCTTTCAACCCAACCAGTCTGTGATTCTTTGGTTTTCAAGCTGTAGATTTCCCGGCAAGAATAAACTTTGTTCCCATGAGTTACTGGGAGTGTGAACATCTCATTTACTACATTTCAAGAAAATGATTTGTCATTTTTTAAAATTAAGTCAAAAAACTTTATAAAGAAAAGGAATCCTAGAGGACGGGGTAAGAGCCATCCAAGTCAAGCAGCTATAAAAGTTCAAATAGTACTTGACAATAGAAACGTTGTGATAAAAACTGATTTCTTCCCTTTTGGAGTCCGTAAGCTCCACTCAGGAATCAGTCTGCAATGAAAGGCAATCTGTCAATACAGAATAACCCAAGAAACCATTTGTGCTCAAAAAAATTATTAAACACCAGAATTTGAGCGAGAACTGTGTAACCCATTAGGCAAATGCATATGGAGAGTTTCCAGGGTATTTACCTGCCAGCAAACACGTCACCTCCTGCCAAAAGCAAATGTTCCAACCCTACATCTTCAGAATTACAGCCACCATCAACAGTGACTGTACAAGGATGGAAGAGAAGGTATCATGTTTATCACCCTATGATACATTTTCTTTGTCCCATCTCTTCTAGTCGCTATTCTTTTCAGACTTCTGCTCTTGCCCAGTTCGCCTGAGGCCACAGCAAATCATCCCAGTAGTCCAGAACACAGCTCTTCAGTTTTCTTTTCTGTAGTTTCTGTGACTCTTTATGCATCTCAAACTATACAAAAATGCCAGATAACTCTTTTGGCATAGTAAAATACTTCCTAAAGGAGTATGATCAAGTAACGTAAGTATTATATACTTAGAAGAAGTTAAGGCATAAAGCAGCATTTAGCTAAATTTACTACTAATACTTATTTGAATGAGATTGTAAGCAATGTGACACACTATTTAAATTGATACAACCATGTAGTAAAAACATTTGCACACACAACAGCCAAAGCTCCCAAGTCACAATTTGCTCTTAAGATCATTTTAGTTGATTAATAAGAAATAAATCTGAACCAAGGACAAATGATTATAAATGGAATGGATCTCAGCATCAATTTTAAACAACACACTTTTTCAATGGATCTTACATATTATTATTCTTGAAATAAAGGACTACTTACTTGATTGGCCATGTAGATTGTGAGGAGACCTCTCCTATAAATACAAATGAGAGAATTAGTGAGTGAATTAAACTGTTTGCACACTAAAGAAAAACACTTTAAGAATTCTGAATGTTTTATTACAGAAGAGAGTTTAAAAAGCAGATTATTGATGGAGGATGAATAATTACCACCCTATAGAAAAGTAAGTATGAAACCAAAAACAGCAACTTGCTAAGCACAGTAGCCAAAGTGGTGACGAATTACACAAACCTGGTTATACATAGCAACCTGCTCATACACAGAATCATAGAATAGTTAGGGTTGGAAAGGACCTTAAGATCATCCAGTTCCAAACCCCCCTGCCATGGGCAGGGACACCTTACGCTAAATCATATCACCCAAGGCCTTGTCCAACCTGGTCTTGAGCCCTGCCAGGGATGGAGCATTCACAACCTCCCTGGGCAACCCATTCCAGTGCCTCACCACCCTCACAGGAAACAATTTCCTCCTTATATCCAATCTAAACTTCCCCTGTTTAAGTTTGAACTGTTACCCCTTGTCCTGTCACTACAGTCTCTAATGAAGAGTCCCTATAGGCCCCCTTCAGATACTGGAAGGCTGCTATGAGGTCTCCACGCAGCCTTCTCTTCTCCAGGCTGAACAGCCCCAACTTCCTCAGCCTGTCTTCAGACAGGAGGTGCTCCAGTCCCCTGATCATCCTTGTGGCCCTTCTCTGGACTTTTTCCAACAGTTCCATGTCCTTTTTATGTTGAGGGCACCAGAACTGCATAGGACCCCTGAAGCCAGCATGAAGGGACAAGGCACCCTGAATTACACACCATGTATGGTAGCGTAAGCATAGTGTGGCCAAAGACCAAGTATAATTGTGAATTTACAGTAAAATGCTGTGTGTAAGCTGCTGGCTTGTGATCAGTGCTATGGAACTCCAGGTGCTTCAGCAAAGGTTGGAAAACTCAAGTTCCATTATTTCCTACTGGACTGGTGCTATTCTGGAGTTTATGGGATTTGGGATTTCTATCACTGTCCCCACAGCTGTTATACACAAAACTTGAACACAAAAGGTACCACATGTTGAATCATTAAAGTCTCTCAATATGAAACTGAGTTTATAAACCTGAACTCATTTGTCCTCACATCACTGAGGACTTTTTTATATTGCTACCACATGAGTAACAGAAGGTCAAGCCAGGCTTGGACATTCCACTTCATGACATTGACGTTTTCAAGTATTCATAGAGTGCTTAAGAGAACAGTATGTTAACAGAACATATCTTGCTAGCACTTCAGTTGAAGGAACAAGGAAAACAATGTGACAGGTAGCAGGAAAAGGTCTCATAGGGAAAAACACCAGATATTTCATCTTTCTTGGATTACTTCTGGGTTTTTGTTGTTTTTTGTTGTTTTTTTTTACCCTGTAATAGTATTAAAAGTTTAGTTTAAACACCAAAACACTCAACTGTTTGGAAGCACAATTAAATTTACCCATGCAAGCTAACCTGGTAATAAAACACACTTTGAGTAATCTTGAGAACATTAGAACTTCAGTAAGTTCTGCAGTAACACACTGACCTGTGACAAGCAACTGGCTACTGAGTGACTGTCCTCATTTCAGAAGCAGCTTTAGGAGTACAGCCTGTGCATTCACAGTTGTATTATATACAGTATGCACCAAACATCATGACTATTGTTTGTGCACATCATTTACTCAGTGGCTTCTCTCCTTCAGTCTCTCTCAGGCAGGCAAGGGGAGGACACACAGGGTCTTCCAGCCTCCCACTGAAATGTATTTTAAGTACTAAAAAACTAAGAACTGGATCTAAATAACTTTTATCTTCTATTGTGGTCCCTTCTGGCTAAGTGTAAAATCCAACCTGCCAACCCCAAAGACAAAGAAAGGAAAAGAGACTAGAGCAGAGGAAGGAAAGAAATCAGCGGCTGCAGTGCAGCTGCAGCGAGAGCGATGCCGAGAAGTCAGAGCTCAGGAGGAAGAAAAATGTGCAGACAACGAATTGGTGCACGAAGTCACTTCCTGAGCTGAAAATACAGCAGGTTGATGGATGACATCATGGGCAAGTGCCTGCAGCAAGCACAGCTCCGTCAACTGCTGCAAGTGGCAGGGGCTAACTGCAAGCAGAAAGGTTTCTTCCTCCAAGTCCATTCTGTGACTGTTTTCAAAACAAACAGCCCCATGCCCTGTGCAAATGCAATGTGATGCCTAACCCAACCCTGAACTCAACTGCTAAAAGTGGGTGGAAGTTCAGAAAACCTTGCACTATTTTACAGCAATGACAGCTGATGGAAAACCCGACAGAAAGATGGAGACAGGCCAAGCAAAGGGCTGCTGGTACAACCCAAGGCCTGTATTAACACTGCAGCTGGTAAGAGAAGAATGTAATTGGGAAATGGTAATAGAAGAGCAGGAAATAATTAAACATAAAAAATAATTAGTCAGCCATGTCTGACCACCTGTTTTGGGGAGGTTCAAAGATGCTAATACATGGCTAACATTTCACCCCCAAACTCTATGACCCAGTGTGGAACATCAATCAGGAGCACCGACATCAGCTACATCAGCGACAGTCTGAAGGAGTCTTAAGATTGGTATCTTTTACCTCAAAAGGGGGATTGCACAAAAGCAATCACAATTTAATTACCCTTTAATCCAAGTAATGCAGAGCTCTAGTGTTCAGTATACTTTTCATTTTGTTTCTCCTTTGTTACCCCAATTTACACTTTCATGTTGAGCTTCTCGTCAGTGAACATAGCCAAGTCCTTCTCCTCAGGTCTGCCCTCAATCCAGTCTCTGCCCAGCCTGTACATGTGTTTGGGATTGCTTGGACCCAGGAGCAAGGCTTTGCACTTGGCCTTGTTGAACTTCATGAGGTTGGCATTGGCCACCTCTCAAGCATGTCCATGTCCCTCTGGATCCCATCCCTTCCCTCCAGCGTATCAACTGAACCACACAGATTTGTGTCATCAGCGAACTCCAAGGGTGCATCAGTCCCACTGTCCTTGTCACCAACAAAGATGCTGAACAGATGTTAAACAGATAATTTGCTTTTTCATTTATACCCTCCACAAAGAGAAGTTTCACTTGATAAAATATGCTTTTCAAACAACGTGGTAAAGTTCAGACCAAACTCTAACAGCAACAGCTCTTCAACTATGGCCTATAAACCTTAATAGAGAACCACATATTTTTGTGATTGTACAGCCCAGAGGAAAGAGTCTAAAATAACTGCTAAAAATATCAAAAGCTATAGGATAAAAATAGCAAGGAAGCCTAACAGTGCACTGGGTTTTAGTACCAGAAGTGTAGGTAGGAGGTCAAGGGAAATGATTAATCCCCTTTACTTGGCACTCACTATACCAGAGTGCTGCACCCTTGTTTTGTCCCCAGTACAACACAGACATTGATCAGTCAGTGAGGAGTACCATGAGCATGGCTGGAAGGTCTTGATTTGACCTGAGGAAAGTGTTTTCTGCATCAAGACGCTCAAACACTGGAACAGGGACCCCAAGTAGCTATCCAACCTCTGTCCTCAGAGGTTTGCAAGGCTGAGCAGACAAATCCCTAAGGAAGCTGGCCTGAAGACCGTGCTGGTTCTGCTCCGAGCAGGAAGCTGCATTAGCTGACTTCCCAAGGCTCATCTGAACAGTTCTATCATTCTGTGAAAAAAAGCAACTTCAAATTATCATATATAATTTTTTTCCACACATTATAACAGCAGAAGTGATAAATAACCTGGCTTTGTAACTAATACAAACCACAAACATCTTCTTTAGTGAATTAGCCACTTTATTAGAAAGATCAAATTTGCCTTCAAGCATTTCCAGTGAAGTCCACACAACCATGGATAGGCTATTCTAAGGATGCCTACACTTGCACTTTGTACCTTTCTTTAGACAAGAATCTGTCTGGTCACTGAAGCCAGTTACATCTTTACCTCCACTGCAACACTACAGAGTCCCAAGTCACCCACATACCACTTCCCAAACAAAAACTGAGCTCCTTCAGTTTTTCCACAGTGTTCCCCAAGATTTTAATTGCTCACGACTCTTTACCGAAATTGACCCAGTTTTTCAGAACTCATCTTCAAGTCCTTAAAATGAAAACACAGGAAATAAAAAAAAAGATTTAAAACTTCATATTCTTTGTTTAATCAACAGTAATTTGCCCAGAGAAGCTGTGGCTGCCCCATCCCTGGCATTGCTCAAGGCCAGGTTGGACAGGGCTTGGAGCAACCTGCTCTAATGGAAGGTGTCCCTGCCCATGGCAGGGGTTGGAACTGGATGAGCTTTAAGGTCCCTTCCAACACAAACCATTCAATGATTTTAAAGTCAAAGAAATCACTAAGTGCCACTGTGAGACTGTGCATTCATCTGCCTGTGAGCAACATTCAAGTCCTGCACATTCTAGAAACTTTAGTTTGACTGAGGCTAAAGCCCAAATCCCCTTACACATGAGTTAGAAATCCTCCTCATGCCAACAGAAGCAATGACAAGTGCCCAAACCTGCATGCCAACACATTGTTTGGAGAACAGTTTCCTAAAGAATGTTTTCTTGCTTAGCTTGACACATTATAAAATTCAAAGAATAACCTCACCTTCACAACTAACGTGAGCTTTTGCTCCATACAATAGCAAATCATACAAAATATCCACTTTTAAAATGCAATCAAGATGTTTTGTTCCTACGGAACTCACTGCCAGTTCTCTTTATTTATGGTTTTCCTTCAATGTATTTATGGCTTTCCTTAAATACAGAGCTGTTGCTAAGCTAAAAAAAGAAAGCAACAAAAAAAACTAACTTGCCTGACAGTGGGATGAATCCTCTGAACACAGTGGTAAGTGCTCCATCACTGGCAGTGTTCAAGGCCAGGCTGGACAAAGCCTTGGGCGACATGGCCTAAGGTGAGGCATTCCAGCCCCTGGCAGGAGTTGGAACTGGATGATGTTAAGGTTCTTTCCAACTCAAACCTTTTTATGATTCTATGGTTATGATCATGGCAATTTTACCACCAGTTAATT